AATTTGAATACAAAGACTAGCCATAATTTTGTAAAAAAAAAAAATTGTTGGATTATTCTTGCAAGGACAGGAGAGACAGCATTTTTTGTTTGTTTGTTTGTTTGTTTTTTAAAGAATATGTTGGGGGTAGGAGTTTATTAATTTATTTTTGCTGTGTTGGGTCTTCGTTTCTGTGCAAGGGCTTTCTCTAGTTGTGGCAAGCGGGGGCCACTCGTCATCGCGATGCGTGGGCCTCTCACTATCGCGGCCTCTCGTTACGGAGCACAGGCTCCAGACGTGCAGGCTCAGTAATTGTGGCTCACGGGCCTAGTTACTCCGCGGCATATGGGATCCTCCCAGACCAGGACTCGAACCCGTGTCCCCTGCATTAGCAGGCAGACTCTCAACCACTGTGCCACCAGGGAAGCCTCAAGACAGCAGCTTTTGAGGTCTTAACATGATTCTTTTGAAATGGTCTTTAGCCACAATATGTCTGAATTTCCTCTTACATTTGTCATACCTTGCATTTCTCTAGCATTCAACCAGATTCTTCAGGTTATTTCCTTTTTATGAGAAAGAAGCTTAGGTTAAATAAAAGGGGCCCCCCAAAAGTAATAAGATGCCAAAGAAACATTAGGAACCACTTTACAAAAAAATGAGATCCTTTCATGATTCATGGTCTTTACCCTGTAAGGAGATTTATTTACTGTCTTGGAATAACCCATCCAAAAATAGTTGCAAGATGTCCACGGTCAGAGAATATCACAGACTGGAGCTGTGGAGATGCTAGCCGGATGGAATCTTGGTGAAGGGCTGTGTAGGGACACATGCTGCCCTTTCTTCTTAGTGTGCTGATTTAGTCCTGGGGTAGATCAGTGTGTGAAAGAAAAGAAAGGTACAGGGTTCCCTTTCCTAGAAACTTCTGAGTAGGAAGACACTTTGTTACATTTTTTAGAAGACATCCAACTGGATAAACATCACTTTGTTTCTGAGATTATAAAGAATAAATTTCAGAACCTCGTCCCTACACATTGCATCCATCAATCTGTTTGATTATGTCGTTACTGTCATAATTTCGACTCTCCAACGTGGTTCACTATGGTGGTTTTGCAGTATAGACGAGAGCAATAAATATTTCAGAAGAATGGGATATACTCTGTGGTACAGTGCAGGTAAGAAGTTGGTGAGCATCCTTCATCCAGTACCTTTCCCCTTTCCTACATCTTTATTTTTCTAGGTACTTCACAATCTGAGGAACTTTTATCTCCCTAAACTTATTTTTCATATGGTTTCTCAATCAAAACCATTCTCACAGGTTAGGTCAAGTTTCCTTACTTTCATCCCTCCCCCACAGGATATAATCCCTTCCTCAGTTCCTCTTGGGAGGAATGCCTTTTCTGCCTTTCCCAATCCTTTCCTTCCTCCAAGGTCCACTTTAGACCCATGTCCTCCATCAAGTCCTCCCTGACAGCTCCTGCCCAGTTCCCTCTTCCTTCTCTGACCTCCAGCTACACAATGGTATGTGATAATAATAGCCTTCACTGGCCCACTGGTTGACAAAGCACTGCACTCACTTGAGATTTTCACAAGTCCCTGAGGTTTGTAAGGAGAACTTTCTTGTCCCGTCAGAGAGAATGAAAAACTATCCCAAGGCCGTATTGCAAATGGCAAAACTGAGATGTCAGCCCAGGTCCTTAAAGTCCAAAGCTTTCCCACTATAGTCTTTTGTCTCTCACACTTCCATATGCCAACAGTGCCTAGTTCAGAGTGGAGAAAAATTAGACTCTGTGAGGGGCATGGTCTCCCTGAGAGCTAGAGAAGGGGGGATATCACCAAAGCACTGCAGAATGAAGACATGAATTCACTTGTTTGTTATGAGATTTTTTTTTTGAACCAAAGAAAAGAGGTATTTAAAAAAAAAAAAACGCCAGCAGAGAAAATCTCTCTCCTTTGGCTGGGTGACATTTCATGCCTGTTCATATCATTATGTCAGACTTTGAAAAACGAAGAGCTAACGCAGTCTCCTTCCTCACTAGACAGAAGGAAGAGCTGGGTGTTTCCCCAGTAGGAGACACGAATGTAATGATTGAAACATTAGGATTGAGGCTGAGTCACTGGCATTGGGAGGGTGGTGGGTCAGAGCCTTCCCCAGAGCTTTCAAAGCTGGCAAATGTACTTAGGGCTGTAGTTACACACACCTGTTGGCTGCAGCCAGTGCTGGCATTGTCAGCATCTGGAACATGGCTCTGGGAAAATCTCCAGCTGTCTTTAGTTCTTTCAAAATAGATCTTCTCCAGATCAAGGCACTAGTATTTTATGTTTTAATAACTTAAAAACTAATTTAGGATTCATAAGTAGTTGCAAAATGCTACAGAGATTTCCTATGTACACTTCACCCAGCTTCCCCCAATGATAATAACTTACCTAGACAGAGTTGTTTGTTTTTGATGTAGTATATAAGAACAAATACTCAATCATTATCTATGATGTTTCTAGGGGTTGATAAGCTCAGTTGGGTGGTTCTCACGTGGGGTCCTTCATTCAGTGACTATCAGATGACAGCTGAGTCTAGAGTCATCTGAAGGTTTCTTCACTCATGTAAAGCTGGGCTGGTAAAGTATCTCTCTCCATATGCCCTTTCCCAGCTCCAGCTTCCTAACAGCAGGGTGGTGTCAGGGTAATCAGATTTCTTGTATAGTGGCTGGTTTACTCCAGAGCAGTTGTTCCAGGAGGTCTGGGTGGAAGCTGCAAGGCTTCTTATAATGTAGTCTTGAAAGTCCCAGAACTTCCTTCACTTCCATCACACTCTATTGGTCAAGCAAGTCACTCAGGCCAGCCAGATTCAAGGAAAGAGGACTCAGACTCCACATAACAATGGGAGAAGCAGCAAAAAATTGACAGCTATCTTTAATCCATAGCTGCCCTGCAGTTTGGTTATTCCCGAGTGGACAAGCATGCTAAGGAACAGCTCATTAGAAGCGTTGTTTATGTCATTAGTAGGTTAAGTCCTCAGGTCTGATTGGCCCTATGAGAATTCTCATCCAGTCACAGGGTCACAGCACCAGTAGGCAGCGTATGCTCAATAAACGTCGTCTGATAGAGCAATTGAAACACCTTCTCAACCCATACATAGTAAGTGGAAATTAATAGGGAAGTAGTGACTATCTCTGTGGACTTTAGGGTAAACCCTGGAATTGGCCTTGTACTGCTGCAGCTTCCATTCTCCAAATAGGCTGGAATCCATCACGTAATTTTTGCTCTATTTGTGTCTGTTACAGAGTAATCCGCCTGGACTAGATAAGGCACTGTGCTAGGTACTATGTGAGTTACCAAGATTACTTGCGCCTGGCTTTTGCTCTCAGGAATGTTGATAACAATTCCTCACTACCTTTCTGTTGGGGTCTTATTTTCCTGCCTCAGTGTTAGTAAGCATGGCTAGAAAAATGGTGGGGAGGGGAAACGGTCAGGGGAAGCAATCGCCACGATTGTCGTGATCGTTAAAACAGGTTACTCTGTGAGGAGATCAGCAGCTTGCTGTTTTCTTCGGCCGCGCTACACGGCTTGCGTGATCTTAGTTCCCCGAACCTGGGCCCTCAGCAGTGAAAGCGCGGAGTCCTAACCACTGGACCGCCAGGGAATTCTCAGCAGCTTGCTTCTTGACAGCAGCGTCTATGGGAGGGAAACATCCTTCCGGTTCTCTCTTAGGCGAAGAGCAGGGGGTAGGGATTGGCATGTTGGATCTCGATTCTTTTTTTTTTTTCCACCTTAAAAATGTACCCTCGGGCTTCCCTGGTGGCGCAGTGGTTGAGAGTCCGCCTGCCGATGCAGGGGACAAGGGTTCGTGCCCCGGTCCGGGAAGATCCCACATGCCGCAGAGCGGCGGGGCCCGTGAGCCATGGCCGCTGAGCCTGTGTGTCCGGAGCCTGTGCTCCGCAACGGGAGAGGCCACAACAATGAGAGGCCCGCGTACAGCAAAAAAACAAAACAAAACAAAAACGTACCCTCATCCGTGCCCAGATGCCAAATCATCCGGGGAACAATTCTTTGAGAACGCATTGTCTGTGTGAAAAGAAAAACTTCACCGAGGAGTGGGGACCATCCAACTTACGGTGGGTGGAGTTGGGGAAGTCTTGGGTAGGAGCACAATGTGCTGCAACGGAAGCTGAAGCGAGGAGAGAGCTAAGAATGAACCCTGCTGCTTGAACTAAGGGAGAGGCGCAAACTGAACAACTTAACTGGCTTGTGTATTGAATATGCTTCCTGTGATCCTCTTCCTCAGATTAAGGTTCCAGCCCTGGGATTTGCAGGGAGGAAATTCAGTGGAGAGGAAATTAGGTGGGAAAATGGGTGTGCCTGACAATAGCAGAACTGAGTGAAAGGGCGCCACCTGGAGACCTTTTCTAGTGGTGGGAGCAGAAAAGAGGAAACGGGGTGCATCTGGGAAGCGGTCTCAGTCTGAAGAGAGGAAGAAGGTTTTCGCCTGAAACTGCCGTATAAACAGTGTCAGAATAGTGGTGTTCTGGGTTTGTAGAATGAGCTGGAAGACAACTGTGCATGTCTGAACCCTGAAGAGTGTTATTAAGTGGAAGGGGAAAGGCGGCCTTAAGCATGAGGATGGAGGAAGGGGAGAAGCCATTAGACAAATCCCAAGAGTTGGGCTCTTGGGAAGCCCCCTTGGCTGTGGTGGTATTGCCAGTTCTCTGAATGTGCCATGCTTTGCCCATGCTGTCTTTTCTGCCAGGAGTACTCTCCTCTCTTCTTGGGCCTGGATGATATGAGATGCAGTGGAGGGGCTTCCCTGGTGGCGCAGTGGTTAAGAATATGCCTGCCAATGCAGGGGACACGGGTTCGAGCCCTGGTCCGGGAAGATCCCACATGCCGTGGAGCAACTAAGCCCGTGCACCACAACTACTGAGCCTGCGCTCTAGAGCCCATGAGCCACAACTACTGAAGCCTGCACGCCTAGAGCCCATGCTCCACAATGAGAAACCACAACAATGAGAAGCCCGCGCACTGCAACAAAGAGTAGCCCCCGCTCACCGCCACCTAGAGAAAGCTCATGCACAGCAACGAAGACCCAACACAGACAAAAAAAAAAAAAAAAAGATTCAGTGGAAGCTTCAGAACCTTCGGGAGTCCTTTACTGATGATTCTCAGTTTGAATTAGGGCCCGCTCTTCTGTGTCCCTTGTAACTTGGGGCTCCCATTGGACATGAGCTCCATTAAGGTAGAGATTGTGTCTGTCTAGCTCACTGTAACACTCCTAGTGCCTAAAACTTGTAAATTGTTAATAAATATCTACCGAATGAGATATCTCTGTTGCAGCAGTTATCATAGGTATGAAAATTGTATAGACTTCTCTGTCTCTCCCACCAGACTTTAACTTCCTGAAGGCAGGGACCATGGCCTACTCATCTTGGTATCCCCAGCACAGTAGCTCAGAGCCTGGGAGGGAAAATAGAGGATGGTTTATCAATACTTGTTGAATGAATATAAAAGGGGGCAGTCTGGGGGTACATGTAAGCTAGTCAGCTAGTTAGTGATTCTAAGTTCTGGTTCACAGTAAGATCACCAGGGGAGCATTAAAAATACTGCTGCCTAGGCTCCACACCAGACCAATCCAAACAGAATCTCCTGGGTCCAGGCATCGGTATTTTTAAAAAGCTTCATAGGTGAATTAATATTGGGAACCTCTGGTCTAGGCTCTAAGGGAATGTCAGAATCTAAGGCAGCCAAGAGAACATTCCAGAAGAGAGCCCCTTTCTGCTGGAAAGGGAAGGGTTTTAGTTCTCTTCCAAAACTGGGTAGGTACTAGAGCAGAAAAGAATAAAGAAGCCTAGATTCTATACTAACACTCAGCGGGTTCTCTATAGGAGAAGAACTGAGGTAGCCAAATGAGCTCTGCTTTTAAGAAATTAGGGCATTTCCAAGGATAATCTTTACCAGAATTCCCAGGGCCAGCAGAATCAGTATTACCTGGGAGCTTATTAGAAATGCAGATTCTCTAGACCCCACCCTCCCAGACCTATGAATCAGAATTGGTATTTGCACAAGATCTCCAGGGGATTTATATGCACACTGAAGTTTAAGAAGCATTGTGCTGAAGTAGTTGTTCCCAAAGTGTGGTTGGGGTACCAGCATCATCTGGGGTAAGGGATGGGGTGGAGTCGGGGGGCTTGTAGTTATCATGCTTTAGTTTGCATCAGAATGACCTAAAGGGTTTGATAATCTCATATTGCTGGGACAATTTCCAGTCCAAATGGAAAATAGTAAACCCATAAACCCCCTCATTCAGTAGGTCTGGGGTGCGGTATGAGAATTTGCATTTCTAACAATCAACATCATCCCAGGTGATGTTGATAGTGCTGGTCTGGGGACCACACCTTTGGTTATTACAAATAAGCCTGCTATGACCACTCACGTACAAGTCTTTGTATGGACATATGCTTTCATTTATTTGGGGTAAATATCTAGGGGCAAAATTGCTGGATCATGCGAGAGTTATGTTTTAATTTTAAAGAAATTACCAAACTGTTTTCCAAAGTGGTTGGACCATTTTACATTCCCACCAACAGTGGACAAAAGTTCTAGTTCCTCCACATTTTCACCAACCCTTGGTATCATCTGTGCTTGAATTTTAACTATTCTAATAGATACATGGTAGTATTTCATTGTGGTTTTAATTTGTATTTCCTTAATGTCTAATGAAGTTGAGCATCTTTTCATGTGCTTATTTGTCATCTACATGTCCTTGTGGTGAAGTGTCCAGATCTTTTGCCATTTTCTTATTGGATGGGTTAATTGTTTATTATTGGGTTTTTTCTTATTACTAAGTTTTGAGAGTTCTTTATTTTGGATATAAGACTTTTATTATATACATGATTTGCAAATATTTCCTTTCAATTATCATTGTCTTTTCATTCTCTTAGCAGCGTCTTTCAAAGAGCAGAAGTTTTAAATTTTGATAAAGTCCAATTTACCAATTTGGTTTTTTATAGAATGTGCTTTTGGGGTTGTATCTAAGAAAACTTTACCTAACCCAGGGTCACAAAGGTTTTCTCCTATGTTTTCTTCTATAAATTTTATAGTTTTAGGTCTTACATTTAAAGCTATGGTCCATTTTTCGTATACAGATCTCCAATTTTTTCATCATCATTTGTTGAAAACACAATCTATGTCTTTAATATCTCTCAACATCGCTTTGTAGTTTGCAGAGTATAGTTTTTTCATACCTGTTGTCAGATTTATACCTAAGCATTTTATATCTTTTAATACTCTTGTAAATAGTATTATTTAAATTTTAATTTCTGATTGCTCATTGCCAGTATGTGGAAATACCATTAATTTTTGCGTATTGATCTGGTATCATGCAACCTTGCTAAACTCATTAGTCCTAGTAGTCCAGACCACATTGTCCTTTCCATATTTCTATAAATATTCTGGAGCTTTGTTCTAGGATTTGGTTAAATCACTTGGGAAGAGCTTAATGCTTTAGGGTCTTGTTTTTAAGATTTGTTATATAGGACTGGGGCAGTGTTCAGCCTAGGACTAATTAGTCTTTACTACAGAGCGGTATCCTTCTGTGTACTCTTATCCCCCCACCCATGAATCTTGAAGTTTTCAAGTCTGGCTGGTGAGAACAGACACTCTTCTTAGCCCTATGTGAGTGCCAGTCCATTACCTCTAACCTTTTTAGATGATTCTCTGGCCTCAGAGAGTTTATTTATATGTATGTGCTGATCAGTCCTCAGCTGAATACTCAAATGAGAACCTTCTGCAAACCTCTAGAACTTCCTGTTTCTGTGCAGTTCTCTCCTAAGAACTCCAGCAGTCTTAGTCTCCTCAGACTCTCAGCTTTGTTTTCTCAACTCATCGAGTTTGCCTGGCTCTGCCTGGGCACCCTCTCTGTGCTATGGCCTGGAAACTCTCTCAAGGCAGTAACCTGGGGCAATTATAGTGCTTTACTTCATTTGTTTCACATCTCTCAGGGATCACTATCCTTCTTTGCCTGATATTCAGTGCCTTTCAAACCACTGTTTCAGATATTCTGTCAATTTTGGGGGTTGTTTCATGTGGGAGAGTAAATCAGCCCTTAATCATGGCCAATAGTTTGCATTTAAAATGTAAAGCATGCTTTTATCCTGAAAAGTATTTATATATTTTATAGAATTAAAAATAATTGGCTTATGTATTTCTCAACTATAACTATAGTTTTCTTCACCTGAAAACTGTTCCTAAGTGAATTGCCCTTTGCTTTAAAAGCAACCTCATTGCTCACTCCAAGATGTTAGAACAGAGCTGCATCTGAATATAAACCAAGCTGTATTAAATCACTGTGTGTGTATTTCACAATGATTGGCAAAACACAACTGTAGTTCTAGGTACAGCCACTTGAACTAGAGCAGCAGCATTAAATCTTCGCCTCACTCAAGTATGGACATTCTGTGGTTTGCTTTACAGCTGACATGTCAAAGACATTATGAGGAAGAAGATGAAACTCAAAGGTAACATTTATAAACATACGCTCCCTGCTCTTAGATTAAGTGTCCCTGAAGACTTCAACCTAAAGTGAACCTCTGTAAGTCAAAATCCTGATCATGCACACGCTGATGTCTTCTATTTGGATAGCAGTGGGAATTGTTAAGTGACTATGTGACGATAGTTGAAGCACAAGCATTTACTTGAGAGTGCTGAATTGGGGGAGGTGCAAAATGTGAAGCAGTAACAAATGAAAACTGCCTGTAGACATAGAGGAATGACAGGAATATATTCAGTCATGTACTGAAGTATTAAAATGTAAGTACACTCTAGAAATAATACAGATTCTGAGGCCTGGATTCAAATCCTATTGGTGACAATTATAGCCATGTAACCTTGGGGAAGTCGCTTTACCCTTCCTTAGTTCCCACAGTACTACCTTACAGGGCTGTTGCAAGAATTAAATGAAATAATATGTGCAAAGCACTTATAATAGTGCCTGGACACAATGAGCTCAATCTAATTATTAGTCGTTGGTTCCACCAACATCATTTTTTTTTTTTTTCCATATTTTGGGCACCATGCAGCTTGTGGGATTTCAGTTCCCTGACCAGGGATTTAACCCGGGCCATGCCAGTGACAGCGCCTAATCCTAACCACTAGATCACCAGGGAACTCCCATCATTATTATTACTGTTGTTTTGGAAAATTGCATGCGCAAGGGCAGGAAGGAATGTAGAATGTGTAAAGCGCCAACAGGGAAGGTCTCCTTGAGAAGGTGGAATCTGAGCTGGGTTTTGAAATATAGAAAGAACTTATGATGGATATAGGCAGTGATTCTGGGTGTAGGAAACAGAATGAGCCAAAGTTCAAAGAAAGAAAAAAGTTGGAGGTGTGAGGAAGTCGAGCTGGCATGTATGGTGTTGTTGGGCAGTAGTGATAAGGCAGGAAGGGAAAAAAATTACAGGGTTTGGCAACTGTTTAGATGTGGCAAATTAGGAAGGAGGTATCATGTACAACCCGGATATAAGCTGGACATCACAAGGCTCAGTCTCAAAGCAATGCTGAACTGAAAAACAGTCTAGCAACCAGGACTATTTTAAAACAAATTCAAATTTTTCTTGCCATTTTCTAAGAACACTAAAAAGCATAAATTTTAGGAACAATTCTTAAACTTCACTTTCCTCACCTGATTCTTACATTTCATCAGCTCTGGAGCTCCTCACTGTCTTAACCCCTCACTTTCCATTTCTTCTGTTCTGTCTTTTGTTCATCTCCTCCTTTCCTTCTGCCTCTTCAGTCTTGTCTCTGTTTATCCATTCTCCTTATTTTGAATCACAAAGCCTAGGGACCATCCTGGAAAAGGCAGAACTCTACTTAGACGGCAGGCTTAGCAAAGCTATCAAAGACAATATTCTCTTCATGGTGGGTGGTAGAGAAGTTTATGTTGTGGCAGAGAGGTTATGTACCAATACTCATGTTAATACATTTTTTAAATCAACAAAGATAACACTAACACTTCAAGTCTTGGTGATAGGCTAATGGGGGTATGTATCATTACACAAATAGGGAAACCAAAGAACAGAACTCAAGATGTTGAGTTTGGAACAGAGCATGTGTTGGAGACACAGCATCATTCCAGAAGTAGGTAGGCAAAAGAAAGCTGGATAAATAGATCAGGAATTACATGGATTTGGACATGATCCTCGAAGAAATGATAGTTCAAGATGTGGGAATGAACGAGAACAGAAATATAGAGAAAAAATAGAGAAAGATGAGAGTTAAGGACAGGACTTTAGAAAATACCTACATTTCAGGATAAGAGTTGACAAGAGGATTCAAGAAAGGAGAGAGTGGTCCTGGTGTCCAGGCCTTACCCAGATGAATTCCATCAGAATCTCTGGAGGTGGAATTCATGCATTAATATTGTCGACACCTTCTCCAGCAATTCCATGTGCAACCAAGGTTGAAAACCATTGTTCTAGTGGTTTATGTGATGATACTTAATGGTTTTTATGGTGGTGGGAGAAAGCAGTTGTTAAGGAATAAAGTCCTAGTTTATTGGATTTAAAAACCAGAAACTCTAACATGAGGAACCTGGGGCTCAAAGAGATTAATTGTGTGACCTTAAACGAGAAATTTAATGAATTTCCAACCTTGTACTTACCTCTCACGGTCTTAGACACAGACTCCTCCCCCTCGTCCTCTCTCACCCACTCCTCCCCACCCCAGCCCAAGTCCTCCACTACCCTTGCCCTGAGACTCCCAAGGCTGTTCAGTCCTTCCAAAGGCTCTCCATTCAGATTTTAGAACACATTTCTGAAAGGCTGAAGTCTCACCTGAGGTCTCTTCGGCAGCAGCAGACTAAACCACAGTCAGAGGAAAACCCCTTAAAGGCTGTCTCATAACTTTGTGAGCCTGGGGAGAAGGTTAACCTCTAGAAGAAAATGGGGTGGCGGGGAGCCTGTATTTTGAGGTGCTGGAGGCGGAGAAGCTCTGACTTCTTCTAGTGCAGCCCACTCTGTGCTGTTCATGCATTGGCGTCGAAGTCGGGGCTGTGGCGGCGAGCCTGCCAGAGCTGATGAGGACATAGCACTTGTGGGAATTCTGTGGCTCCAGAAGGCGAAAGGTCAGTTTCTTTTCATTGACAGTGTTCTTGCTGCCCGAGGGTTTATCTTTGGGAATCTTGACTGGTTTCCAGGGTTAGGCCTCACCTCTATTGTTATCTGGAAACACAGGAACAGCCCTGTTGTCGTGCCAGACTGGGTTAGACATTGGACCCCATTCCCCACGGCACTGTAATCACGCCCTCCCCCAACGAATGAAGTCCTACAGTCTTCCAGAACAGCTGGAAGAGGATTTTTAAAGATACACAAACCTGCTCATGTTCCTCTCATACATAAACATTCGGGCTTGATTTGTCCTACCCCTGTCTTTCATTTTTTCTCTGGGCTCCACAAGCCCATACCCATGAATATGATCCAACATTGGAATGCACTCTGAAGCTTGAGGACACGCCTGAAATCCCCTGCAAACACTTGTCTTTCACTCATCCTGATACATTGAAAACATGTGCACATGTAACCCCTGAACTCACACATAACTCCACCAGCTCACAGTCACACTAAAAGTGGGTTCGAGTTACACATGTGCTTGCTTACACCTCGGCTCACACACTCCCACCTGAACGTTCGTGTACACAGGACCTGTTCATTCCTAGCAGAGCCAACATCTGTGTTCATGGCCACATTGAAAACACACCTTCAGGTTCCTAAGAAACAAATGGCAAGAGAGAAGGGAAACAGGGCAGCTGAAAGAACGGCCCTGCTCCTTCTGCTTCTGTCCTGAAGCAAAGCAACCAGCATCTTTTGGGCTAACTTGGTGCGTGGGGCCCCACTGTAGACTTTTACAACAGGCCCTGATATGACTCCAAGGATGAAAGTAGCAATCTCCTCCCCAGCCACGTCTGCTGGGTTCTTCCAGCTGTCTCCAGGGCAGTTCTCCCTAAATGCAAACTATTAGTATTTCCTGTTAAAACATTTCTAATAAATAAATGAATACATCATCTTCTCAACCCGAAGCAGGTCTGAAAGCAGCCTAGGAGCTACTCTGAGCTAAGGATGGACATGGACCACCCAGCACCAGCCCACTGGCCCAGGGCCAGTGCTGCTTTTGTTTGAATTCCTGTATGAGTAACTGCTCGAGTTGACGCCAGCCAAACTCAGTGAAATATTATTTTTAATATTAAATAAATAGATGGTGGGGTGTGTTGATCTTTTTTTTTCCCCCCAGTAAATTGCAGCATCACAACATTAGAAACTGGCTCTTGTATCCAGATTTCCTCAGATAGCAGAAGGAAGGTTGACATTCTCTTTGACCTTCCTCATGGAGTACTTACCCCCAGGAGACAGAAAAGTCCCAGTTGGTGATGACAGGACCCTATTTGGAGTAAGCTGGGAGTTCAAATGCTAACTTGTATGGGATCATCAACCACTCTTGCTAATTTTTCTAACTTATCTATTCTTTTCACTGTACAAAAGGCACATGCTCTTTATATAAAAGTCAGAAAGCAGAGATGAACAAGAAGCTGCTGAAATCCTACTACCCAGTAAGAGACAATTACTGCTAAATTTTGGTGACTGTTCTTGCTTTTACATATTTATATGTATGTATAACAGTCAATGAATGTTGATTTTATAAAAATGTACATTGTACATATGTATTTTTTTTACACAGAATTGATCTTGGGCATCTACTTTATGTCAGTAAAATACTCTCCTAAAACTCTACTTGTAAGGACTACATAATACCCCATCACATGAACATGCCACAGTATGCTCAACCAGCCTCCCACTGTTGGATATTAAGGTTGTTTCCAAGTTTTTTCTATTATAAACAACACTCCAGGGGGAAAAAAAATCCTTGTAGCTAAATCTTTGCATACATCCTTAATTATTTTCTTAGGATAAAGTCCCAAAAGTAGAATTCTAAGACTTTGGCTACATATTGTCAAATAGCCCTCTAGAATGATTATACCAATTTACATTGCCACCAGCAGGGAATCAAAATGTTCCCCTGCTTGAACCTCTGCCATGCTGCATATTATTCTTCAAAAACAATCTTTGACAATTTGTTAGGCAAATAAAAGAAAGAAAGAAAAGAAAAGAAAAAAGAACCACCAACCAACCTTAAACATTTAACATGAGAGGTGAGCAATATAGAAGTTTTGCATGTCTGAATCTTTCTGGCAGCATGTCTTTTGCCATGTTGGGCAGTGAAGGGAAGAGACAGAAGAGGAGCCCCTGGCTGTGGTGGCCTTCAGAAAGGCTCAGACAAGCGAGAAGATGCCTTGACATCAGGTACAACTGGAGGAAGTCAATGCTCTGAAGCTCCAAGGTGAGTCAAGAGGAGAGGATCTCCCACAGGGGTTCCCCAAATGTATTCTCAATGAGATTCATTTATTTGAAGGGAAAAGACACTGAGGTCAAGGAGGTTTGGGGAGCAGTGGGATAAGCCAGGTTAGACCAGTTTCTTCACAGCAGGATTTCTCAGAACGTATAAAATGCTAAGGGGGGTGCTGAAGCTCCAAGGGGGAGACATGGTATGCAATGTAACCACAGATCCAGCTTTACCTCCTACCCCCCACCTCATCTTTTTTTATATTCCACAAAGCATCTCATGGACCTGGAGCTTGGTGGAATACACTTTAGGAAATGAAGTCTGATGCCGCAGACTTCTTCACAGAAAGCAGAGGATGGCAGTTAGGACAAAAATGAAGGGATGGGCAAGAGAGAAAGAAGGAAACGAGAAAAAGCAGGAGAACAGAGGGAAATTAGAAAAACAGGGGGATAGTAAAGAAACGTAAAGGGGAAAGGAAAGGAGAAAGGGAGGCAAAGAGGGAGGAAACATTTAAGAGAATGAGGATAAGGAAGTGTGGAGCAGGAAAGTACCACCAGAAAGACCCCTTCTTACTAAAACCACCTCCCCATTGCTTTGAGGAGAGACACAGGAGGGGCTGTGTCTTCTCTGTCATCTCCCCTACAGACACCCAACGCCAGCATGTCACTCTCCACGCCTGGTTTTCTCTGAAGTGTGACCCATCCCACAGTCCCTTCCTCAATGGCTAATTACTTAAAATGCAAAAATTCATTTGCAAAGCAAGCTGAAAACAGTGGGCCCCAAAGTAACCCAGAAAAATAAAATAAGAAATTCCAAAAATATTTAATTACTGCATCTCTTATTATTGTGTGTAGCTTCTTGCAGTATAAGACATGACCAAAACTAACCAAACATTCTCTACTCAGCCAGGAAGTCTAGTTGCCTGAAGAGCAGATAAAGGCAAATTGACAGCTTTTAAAGCCCAACAGGGCCTTTTACCCAAAAGGGGCTGCTTTCAAGCAAACTGAAAGCACCAAAGTGGTAAAATAAATTCCTAAAAGCTTAAATGCTGTGCATGTACACAGTGCTAAACCCCTTAGAATTCTACAACAAAAAAGATACTTTACTTAATGGAAGCTGTTTGTTATTTTTTAAAAGTCTCAAGTAACACATGCTAAAGTAGAAACAGTATTTTGAAATAAACTCTTGGAGTGTTCATCCAAATCTGAAACCCCTAGAGTTCTCAGAAATATGGGGTAGGATTTGAAGCAGTTGCATTAAGATTGACACCAGATTTCATTAGAACAGTGATTCCCGACACCCTTAATCACCATGACTCTGTTTTTGTTTTTTGTTTTGGGGTATTTTTTAGTATTATTCCCTGCAGTCAGTCACTTATCTCGGTTTTCCGTCTGTATTTATGTCCACAATTACTCATGGGTTCAATGCTGGACTGTCAGGTTGACCAATAACATCCCCAAATTTTCTGTGATTTCAACAAATGTAGTGACTAGCATAATACACCCTGGGTTAGAGAATGGAGTTGATACTATTCTATCCAAAAGGAAACTTGCCATTTAGTTAACCTATTTAATCCTATCACAGATAAGGAGTTGGCCCTTCATATTATTAAAAATAAGACATAAGCCAATATTACTGACTTTGTAAATGTCCCAGAGGATGAAAATCCTCACATTTGAGATTTTTCTGAAAACCTGCCAGCTTTTAATATTTGCTGCATTTTTTAGAGCTGACTCATCTTAAGCCTCTAAACCAGGGGTGGCCAGTGATGGCACATGTGCTGCTGTTCTCATTTTCTGTGCCTGTGGCAGACATCTCTAATTGACCTCTGCAACCATTCCCACTGAGTGCTTTTCTTAACACAGTGTTCCAAGCAACCGATGGGTCAGAGCTGGTGCTGAAGATGAAACCAGCTTGTCTTTCCTGCTCTACCCTGAATCTTAGGTGATTTGTTCATAAGGCAAGGATAGGGGATACAGGTTCAGTATTCTTCTGAGTAAGAAAGCTTGAGATTCCATATTAAAGATGGAAGATGTAGAAATGAGGGGAACCAAGAGATGTAGAGTCACATGAAAATAAGATCCGACTTCTCCCCCATCCCCTTGACAGCTGATTATAAATAACCACTCCTCATCCTTTTTGCCTGTGTTCCTCTTCCTAGCACAAGTGCAAGGATCGGACAAAAAGGTATCGGAAAGGTTTGTCCATGAATGGATTAGTCTGGGCTGGGGAAAGTTCCAAAATGGTCTTGAAATAATACTGATACCACCCTACAGGGCGATAGGGTCAGAGTTTCCTGGTCTCCCAAGTCTCTCTCTCTCACATTATCTCCTTGGAGCTTGACAGCCCTGTGAGAAAGGCCGAAGAGATGTCGTCTTCCCTTTTACTCATGAGGAAAGAGAAGCTTAAAGAAGGTGAGTGATTTTGCAAGGTCATATGGCTGTGAAGGGATGGAATCGGAAAAGGAACTCAGATTTTAAAACTGAATCCAGCGCTTTTTTTGATGCACTTGTGCTACTCACATTGGGGTGTAAGCATGCCTGGATAGGTAGGGCAGGGCCAAGAGATCATTTCAAAGACTTGCTATAGGGGCTTCCCTGGTGGCGCAGTGGTTGAGAGTTCGCCTGCCGATGCAGGGGACAGAGGTTCGTGCCCCGGTCCGGGAAGATCCCACATGCCGCGGAGCGGCTGGGCCCGTGAGCCATGGCCGCTGAGCCTGCGTGTCTGGAGCCTGTGCTCCGCAACGGGAAAGGCCACAACAGTGAGAGGCCCGCGTACCGCAAAAAAAAAAAAAAAAGACTTGCTATAGGGAATTCCCTGGCGGTCC